GACATTTACAATATTGCCGATTTTCCATTATCGCAGTCGGCTCCAAGCCATTCGGTCCAATGCGGCTACCAAGATCGACGCGCTCTCAGGGGAACATCCAGAGGATATAGATCGGAGTTCTCTTTTATCCGTAGATGGTCCTCCTGGAGAAATAAACAACATGAGGCTCGTAGAGATTTTAGACAATGGAAAGCGTCACGCAAGGAGGCCTCTCTGCGGACGCACGGAGGCCAAAATCCTAACCCCCTGATTTGTCCTAAGCCAGCAGTGTACAAAAGACTCCTTTCCCAGTCCCGTACTTTCACTCATGGCTACAATCAACTTCGCCATGTAAACAAATCTGTTGCAGTTCCTGTTCCAACCGGATTTCAGTTACAAATAGCCACCTGGAATGTAGAAGGCCTCAGAGAAGTTGCTAAGTACGACCAGATTCTATCTCTTTTGAATTCCAAGCGCATCCACCTTTTAGCTGTTCAGGAAACCAAATGTGAATCTGCATCCACTTTTTGTAAGTCAGGTTGGGAAATTCTTCATTCTGGAGCTTCTCACTCCAAACACCATGGAGTTGGTTTCTTTATTTCTCCTTCTCTTAGACCACATGCGCATACTTTTTTGGCTCATTCTCCCCGAAACTGTGAAATCACCCTTCAAACCAATCCACATCGCATCACCATCTTTTCTATTTATGCTCCAAGCACAGTTGAGGATGCTACTGAGGATTTAGCCAGAAAAGAACATTTTTGGTCTCAACTCGATACAATCATCTCTGATCATTCAAATTCCTCTCATTTAAATATTCTTGGTGATTATAATTCAAGACTTGACTCATCTTTGGATCCAGATCATGATCATATAGGCCCCCAAGTATGGGGTAAACGCCAAAGTATCTCTGATACAGATAGAGACAACGCTGTCTACCTTATGGAATTTATGCAATCGCATCTTTTACTCCTCCCTCAAAACTTTTTCTTACCTTCCCTCCTCCAAACTTGTCACCTATAAAGAAATGACCTCCTCCACAGATTTCCTCGAAGATTTCGCCGTCTCAGATTGGACTACTCTTGACTTCGCTTCTGTCACTCACCCCGTTTTCTGTGATCTGCAATTCAAGGGCTCTCGCTTTCAGCAGCTCATTAACACTCGACATCTTCCTCTTATCTTTTCTTATTCTAGTTCCTTTGTACCTCAACCTCCCGCTCGCACCGAACCAAAACTTGATTTCTCCCAATCCTCCACTTTTTATGAAGAAGCTGTTGAGACCTCTTTACTCGCTAGCGCCAATAATTCCATTGCGACCGCAGGGGGGGGAAATTAACGCGGCCCGTCCCGCTCGCCCCACTCGCCCCATTTGCCCCCACTCGTCCCACTCGCCCCACTCGCCCCACTCGCCCCACTCGCTCCACTCGCCCCACTCGCCCCACTCGCCCCACTCTTGCCCCCGCTCGTCCCACTCGCCCCACTCGCCCCACTCGCCCCACTCGCTTTACTCGCCCCACTCGCTCCACTTGCCCCACTCGCTCGGGGCAAGTGGGGCAAGTGGGTCAAGTGGGTCAAGTGGGGCAAGTGGGGCAAGTGGGCCAAGTGGGGCAAGTGGGTCAAGTGCGTCAAGTGGGTCAAGTGGGGCAAGTGGGGCAAGTGGGGCAAGTGGGTCAAGTGAGTCAAGTGGGTCAAGTGGGTCAAGTGGGGCAAGTGGGGCAAGTGGGGCAAGTGGGGCAAGTGGGGCAAGTGGGTCAA